GTGCTACGTATGCCTAGTCATCGCCTTCCTCGACAATGAGCAATGTTAGCTGATATAGGGCCAGGCTGGAAAAGAGCTAGTGGCGGTCAAACCAAAACATGTCACCAGTCAACGAAATCCACGACAGTTAGCTTAAGCCACGTAGGAAGGTGTAGACTTCCTGGTTGGGGTCCTCGGGACGGTAAAAACCAATGGTTGGAAACAATTGGTGACATGGCTCGAAATCGTTCTCAGTGGCGCAGATGCATCCACTGCTTGTGACTTATGATTTCTAATGAAATTGTTTTGTTCTTCGTTATTACTATTCCTTTGTCTCACACCTCTGTTTACTGTCTCTAATATGCATTTCTTCTACTTTCTTCTCTTGCTTTGTGTGCTACAAGGAGGGAGTGTGGCGACTTGAACTGCCGCACATATGTGCAAAGTTCTATGTCGAAAACCGACCGAGTTTGAGTCTTCGGGATGCCCAGAACCAGTAACTGAAGACTAATAGTGATACGACTAGAAATCATTGTCAATGGGGCAGATGCATTCCTTCTTTACAATCTTCCAGATTCACTAAACTATCATGTTTATCCATCTAATTATTCTTTCTGCCGTACATTTCTGCTTATTATAGTTTTTCTGAACCTCGTTCTTATCCTCTTTCTGTATCTTTGTGTGCCACATGGAGGGTGTAGCAAGTTGAAGTGCTGCTGAACTTCTGTGCATAGGAGTTTTATGTTGAAACTCAGTCAGTCATACTCTTCCCGTTTATCTTAGTCTGTCCGAGAAAAAACCCCCTTTGTTGAGGATAGATGACTCCTGTGGGTGAAAGCCTTCGGGAAGCTAGTCAGTCAGCCGATAAATCTTATTTTTGATGATAGCAAAAATAAGGATTGTGGGGGTTGGGCATGGGATTCTTTGCACCGTGTTAGAGGTGGATTAGCAAGGCTGCTTAGAGATTGCAGAAAAATTAAAAAGATATGGTATAGAAGTGTGTTAGGAATCTGTTAAGTGAAGAGCTAATAAATTAATCTGGTCATCATATGGAGAGGATGAAATGAGAGTTTGTGGACAGTTTTGAGAGTCATACAGGATTAAGGCTATACTATTGTCAAAAACATGATTTGAATTCATAACTACAAACTTTCTAATCACTTATTTTCCCCTTTTGATGAGTGGAATATAGGACTTTAGGTGTGGTTGTGTTCTCTGAGCTGGCAGATTAGATCAAAGATATCTGCTTTCAGTACTGTATCGATTTAGTTAGCTAAGAAATTGGAATTGAGGTACTTTTTCTATCACTTGTGAGTATAAATCGTACTTAATTGCCTGTCTATAATCATGGCGACAGTTATCTAGTCTGGTTGTGTTACACCGATCCTTTTTTCTTCCTTATTTGCGTTGGTTGGCTGAGTTGATGGTAGGCATCTTGTGGTGAAGTTTGGGATATCCGTTTTTCTGGGAGAAAGTTATAAGATATTTCTCCTCTACTCTGTCCTCAATGCAGCAGTGTGTCTTGGCTCAGAGAACTAAGCTAAACTAATACCATTCACATCTGAGATACAAATCTTTACCATCGTATTTGAATTTTCTAGCAATACACCATTAGTTGTACTCTGATTAGCTGACGACTTCATTCATCTTCATTGTGTCTTATTTGTGACTTGTCGATATGCGTGGACAAAAGTTTCTTGACCGTTTTCAAGTTAATATGAGTAATGCGATTTTTCAAGAGTTAGTTTGCAGGGTATTAAAGGTTGTCAGTAGGGTAACTGGTGTGCCACTAAGTCAGCTCGATACTATTGTATTCAACAGACATCTAAACTCACGTCTAAATTTCAGCACCTTCTTTATTAACAACTCTCCTCTTGCATCTCATCAGGTAGGACAAGAAGTCATTACAAACGATTATATGCTCGCTTGCACAACCAAGTACAAGAACTCAACGATACGTCGCCATTTCATTGTGTTCTATGAAGTTTTTTTGACCGACTGGCTTCAAGATTGCTCCTCTTCACATGAGCTGCAACATGTAATCCTCGAAGTGAAGTCCAACTCGTCGTATTCCATTCGAATTCCACTCAATGGTCTCCACAGAGTGTGCCCAATCCCTTTCCATTTTTTTCTGCATATTTTATGGTTGATCGATAGGTACTTTGTTACCTGTTGTATAGTCCTTTTTGGCTGGCCATCTGACCTTCGGTATGGTGAGAAGGTAGCTGTTGATGAAAGCCTGCAGTAAGCTACTGGAAATGCTTTCGTAACGCGTCCTTCAAGTCACTGAACCATATAGTTGCACTCATTGATATGACATTAGTGTTGAAAGTCGGAATTTTGTTCTTGATTATGAATGCAGTAGATTTCCACACTGATTTCAGAGTAGTGTCTTGATTTTCCGATGCAATCCTGCCTTTGTCATCGTCATATGTGCGTTTCCTGCAGTTGAAATGATGGTACCTAGTTATGGCAATTGAAAGTGAAGACTTTCCTCATATTTCTGTCACTAATGATGCTGATTTACCATTGTTATCTGACTCTCAACACTCGCCCCCCCTATTCTCAGCTCTCCCCTTGTATCTCATCTGGTAGAACTAAAAGTCAGTATAAAAGATTATATGCTCTTACTACCAAGTATAGGGACTCAGTGATACCATATTTGGCCCGTGTTCTATGCGTTAGAGACGATGTAAAGCGTGAAACTTATGAATTACTATGTTGTTATGTGGTGACACTATCTCAATGAACTGGCAATTTTAGCTAATAAGCTTATTATTGTTTACAATTTTTTTTGTTCACTTGAACATTCTTGTCTTGGCTGCCAGCCTTTCATGTCAACTTGTTGATTTTTGCTTGCAGATTGTCTCTTTCAATAGCCTTGATTGTGATTGGTTGTTTAATTTGCATTCGTATTCATCGCTTTTATTGATCTGAAGAATTTGACCTTGTTTTTGCTCTCTTATTCTCTTTAATATATGTTATATATTTCATCTTACATAGTGGTATGTCTGTTGAATTCAAATTCACCTGATTACCCCGAAATCCCTCCATATAGCCACGCCTTCATAGCCTGTGTCAAGTAAGTCGTCTGGGGTGTTCGTAAAAGAAGCGAAGGGGTGAATAGGACGCCTGGTGCTAAAAGTCAGACCACTGGTGGAAGACATGCAGGTCCACCTAATCAGAGGAGCTGGAACACCCTGGTGTGTAAATGTGCTCCAGAATGCTAATGGATCTAATTGCGTGTATTGATTATTCTTTCTCCCAAGCACATTTTCCTTTCATTGTCATTTCGTTTGGATTACTTGTTTTCTGTATTTTCTCCACCTTTACGTGAGACGTCATGCAGTATAAAGACTTCGACTTCTGAGTTTAGTGCATTTAGGAGATCGCAACGAGTAAATGTATCATCTTATTTTGAGAACGATTATGAGTCATATCATCAACAATCTCCAGACATTGGTTCTTAGAATCTCAGATATTCTAGACAGACAATCTACACTTCCATACATGACTAGTTGAAACCAAAAGTCAAAGACTCCATGGATTGGTGTCAGGTTTCGATAATGATTATCCTTAGCTTTTTCCGATCTAATCTTATATCATTTAACATTGCTCAGTTTAGAAGACAATGGCTTCATATACGTAACAGGTGTTCGAGCCATCTCAGTTGAAGCAGCTTTGCAGCTTCATTGACTACTTTTCCTTCTTTTCGTAATGCTGTACGCCCAACTAGTTTAATATTACTCACCATATTATACCATCACTTAGTACGGAGGATAGAACGCAAATATACATGTGATCGAAGACACCTCCTATTTTTATCTACCATATCCCACAGGCATAAATGATCTACAATATCGTTTTGTTTTTCATTCATTGGGAAATACAAAAAAACCTTTATTATAATGAACCTCAATGTTACTCATCATGTAGCTTTAATACAACGTTAAAAGCACTTTAACTACGTAGGTAAATGATCGCTGACATTTCAGACCATATATGCAATCATTCCCATAGTAAGTGGCCGAAACAGCAGCCAAAGCAGACTTGGACTTAGCTTAATTCAGCCTAGACAAATATTTTGCACCAGTGATTTGAAGTAGAATATTTATCATAATGCGACTGCACAATTTTCAAAACCCCAACGTAATACATTTCAATTTAATTGGTTATTTGTTGGCTTAACTTTCCTAGGTTTCTGATATTTGTATGATAAAATTGAATTTTTCTCACATTTAGAGGACCTGTCTGTCTTCTATCTTTATTTGAGATAGATTTAGGGAGTGAGATAGGCAGACAAACCTTCATAACTCTGAGATAAGTGTGGAAATCTGCTGCACTCAGGTTGAGGAGGAAAATTCAAACTTTTAACACTAGTATCAAATCACTTGGTGCCTCTACGTGGTTCAGAGACTTGGCGTGTTATGAGATTCATTTCCAACAAGCTATTGCAGATTTTCACTAGCAGCTAGCTGCTTTCACTGCCTCGATACTAGAAATCAGATAGTCAGTTAGAAAATAAACCTATAGCCACACGAAAATATAGAAGGAAATGGTAAAGTGATTGAGCGAACGCCAACGAGACTTTTATGTGAAATCACTCACTGGGTAGCCGGTCGAGTAGCGCCAGAATGGGAAACGACAAGTTGGGAATGAGTCCGAGGGCAACATAGAGGAGATCGGCTGATAAAGTGGAATGGAGGTCTTATGAGTAATCTTGGACTTCTCTAGAAAAAGTCTTCAGTTGACAGAGTGATTTAGAGATGTGCGTCGGCCGAAGCCTTATGTTCCACTTGGAACTCAAGGGATTTATAATAATAATAAAAAAATCTACTGAAAAAGCTGAAAGTAGTAACCCTGGGTTGTATTTGTTTCGCCTCCTGTTTAAATCAGTACACTCATGTTTACATACGTGGAGAGAGGGAGAAATGTTCAAATAGTTATGTAATGTGATGATGTAATTAGTATAACTAAATAAATCACAAAAACCAATCTTCACTCCTTCATTCATTTATTTACTAATCTTCATCCTCTTCCTCTTCACCCTCCTCACCACCTTCATTCTCTTCCTCTTCTTCAGCTTTTGCTTCACGTGCTAATCGACGTGCCTCTTTCAGCTCTCGTAGAGCTTCTTCTTCTAGTGGAGTTGGGTCGTTGGCTTCTGACAAGGTGCCTTCGCCAGTCGGTTGCTCTTCTTCATTATACTCACTCATCGGTTTTGGTAAACGTAGAGGGGAAAATGAACCACTCAACACTTTTTGTCCCCAACCAACGTATACATTGACAAAATCACTAGAAAAAATGGATTATTTTAAAACAATCTATTCAGTATTCAATAAAACATTCGGAGGATTTGATTGTTAGTTGTAATGGCTAGTAGTGGGATTAAAAACACACATTCTGTCCTAGTTAATGACGAAACTCGAACTCGACATGAACTCTTTAAAATGCCAGAAAATGTTTTCTTCTAAGCCCAGATAGTCAACTTTTGGCAAGTCACACTATCACCAACAAAGATGACATGCCAAGTTAATTCTGTCATATATCATCGAAGAGTCTGTCTACTAGGTGGAACTGACTTGTGAACAGAGACGTAGAATACTAGATAAGGAAAGGGAAGTCAGTCTATGAGGTTATGAGGCGACTGCGCCAACTGAAATGCTTATGACACGTTTTACACATGGTATCCCACTGCCTTCCTCAATGAACAATATTAGCTGACATGGATTAAGGTTGAAAAAGACTTATAGGTGGTCAAACTAAAAGCTGGCATCAGTTCTTCCATGAAGTGCGTGACAGCTGGTTTGAGAACATAGGAAGGTGTAGACTGTCTGGTTAGTGTTCTTGGGATCCTAAGGATCAATGACTCAAAGTAGTTCTGAATGGCATAGATGAATTCACTCATTGTAATCTTCCGAAAGTGTTAAATTCTCATGTTTTTTTCGTGTTATTATTCTTTCTTTCTCTTGTGCACATATCTGCTGACTTAGTTCTTTTGAATCTTTAATCTCTCTCTTTTCTCTACTTGTGTCAGCTACATGGAATGTGGTAACTTAAACTGCTGCTTCACTTTAAGTCTAGACTCAATATAACCCATCATATTATGATACTTACGGGAGACAGAACGCAAACATATGCGCTCAAAGATAGCTAGCTAACCTTTTAACATATCTTTCACTTTCAATGGTGATTTCATACTCACTGAATAGCTTCTAGTGCCGAATAATTCCAGCTTGCTTTGGCTGTAATAATCCATTCATTGAATGGAATTGCTAATAGCATTAACGGATTTCACGCAGACAATTTCAAAGTAAATTTTGCTGGCTAAAACGATTCCTGAAAAGTTCGTTTCTTACTTCAAAAATAGTATCAGTTTGAATTCAGTCGACATTTTAATACGATTCTTTGACACCGTAGTGGAGACGCTAAGACACCACTTTGGTGATCATTGATCCCTGTTTGATTCTTGATATCTCTATCTTCAACTAATCATGATTAAGAACAGTGATTTTCTCACGCTCATTGGTATCGTAATTCGTGAATATGAACGATTCAACCAAAATCTTTGATAGACGATGAATTTAAATCAATAGTACTCGTCTGAAGCTTACATTTTTACCTAAGTTTTCTAACATGAGAATGAAGTTTCCGAACCGTTTCGATCGATAACATCTCTGCTGAATGTTAACGACTACAAAACCTGTTTGATACAAGTTTAGTTCAGCCCAAACGCCAGGGTAATCCTCAAGCATATGCAGTCCAGCGTATATTTCACATCTTCAAATTACCCTTTGGCCAGACCGCCATCCCCCATCTACACAGACGATACAAAACAGAGTTCGAAGGAAACACTTTCATCCTCTCACTAGCATCCATACTGCTGCCTAGACTACTGTAATACTTTTGGACACACAGACGGATTATGCTCTCCCTCATCCTGTAGACATCGCCAAACATCCCATTCTTGACTGGCAGTTAAATCTCTTAGCCCCATAGTTGTTGACAGTATCGAGACTAGGGAATTTAAACCATCAGTAGTGCCTCTTCCATACAGAAGGGGAACTACTGAGAAAAGTCAGGGGTAGAAGTGACATTCAAGTCACCAACTAACTCACTGACAGACGAATTATGTCAGTTAAAGAATCGATCCCGTGGCGTCCATTAGACAAAATATTTTAGTTCACCCAATACTCTGCAGTGATTTTGATTAAGGTCAAATACATAGGTCAGGTAGATTAGAGGAGCACAAAAACCGAGCGAAATCTGGATTAGTTGACCCTACACTACTGGGATAGGAAATCTGGAAAACAGATCAGCTATGCAACTACTTGCAGTTATATAACCAGAAAGAATGATATTACGAAGTGATAGTGTTAAAACCTTGTGTAAAGGGATTTAACTCAGAGGTCAATAACAGGAACTTTATTTATGAAATCAGTTAAGACAGAATACCAGTCCACCCAGACATCCGAAAAATTCTACTACCTTTAAGACAAATGGGTAGGAACAGCAAGAACTATAGAAATCAAGTTTTGAAGTTGTGTGTATCTACAGCTGATGTTATATGATTGCGTTTGATCAGACACTAATTTGAGTTAGGGAACCTCTGAAAACCACCAGGGAGTATTGGAAGGCTATTTCATTCCTCTTCTTCTGGATTCTCTTCATTAGAATGCATCCATGAGTCCTCGGTCAAGGATTGAAAAAAACTAGGGATCATCAGGTTACAAGGCCAGCTCGTTGACCATCCAGTCACTGGGATGGAATCCATTGGCCAGTCCATGAATTAGGAACAATAAACAATCAATTGTTTTCGAAATATCAATATCCAGAAAATATAATACTGTTTCGGTGTGTAGTGTGATATGGAAATGCTTACTACCACAGCACCAAAGTTTTACATATATATTACTAACCTAGCTTAGTTTGCTAGTTCATTAGATTACTAGGCGGTTCTAAGACCAGAAAAAGAGAGTAGGTTGGGCGTGGGTCTAGTAACTCTACCAAGGAAATTCAACCCACTCACCATAGAAATTTTTAATACACAGGGAAATTATGAAAAACAGACCTATTTTTCGCTGGAATCGGACGGACAGAATGACGCGGGCGGATGAAAGCTTTCGGGAAGCCATTCACTCTATGTATCTTCTTTAGATAAGAGCAAAAATAATCATGGACTGCCCTCACGATATTTGAAGCTGGGAAGGCTGATCAGATTGCCAAAGAGATGAAAATATACGGTATATAGGTGCTCGGGATCTATTAGAGCAGACGAAATGGACGTTGACTGTCCAAATTGTTAGCTGGAGGGGCACTAATCTACTCCGGTCATCCAGCAAAAACCATGGGCACACTGAAGAAGTATCTGTCACAATAACACCAACAGCATCCTAAGCTCTTATACAGTGAGAACCAATTTCCTCTTGTAGAATGACAATAAGATTCAGTTACAGTTATCCAGTGCTATGCTCCTACAAACAACGCATATCTTAAAATCCACTATAACAGGATAAGTAGAGGGAGACACTGGTAAATGGGGCATTAATTATCTAATCAGCTGAGAATACAAGCACATCAGGAATGATTCAACACTCGGAACCTAAGGGAATAATAATAATATATTTCATTAATCTGAAATCAGTATAGAAATATCCTGCACTTGCTCAGCCTAAGCAACAAAATTCGGACCTTCAGTATCAAGTCAGTCAGTGTTTCCATTATATGGTTCAGAGACTTGGCTTACACTTCACCTAGAATATTTCAAACAGGTTACTCCAGGCTTTCATTGACAGACTTCTTCAATGGCTCCATAGTGAAGAGCGTATGAACAGATAGGATTGGCAACCGGAAACTCTGACAACAAACCAATGAACCAAGAAATTGTCAGCCAACAAATATTCAGAAGGAAGTGGAGATGAAAGGAACAGAGATGTACACTGAGGAGAACGTTGAGTAACATCACACACCGCACAGGCCTTCCAGCAGATTCCGAATGGGAAATGACGTGTTGGGCATCTGAAGCTGAGGAGAAAGTAAATGCTTATGGGCAATTGTCGCACCAGCTAAGGAAAAGGCTCTGAAGAACTGAGTGAAATGGAGATGTGTCTCGACTGAAGCTCTACTTTAAAACTAGGAATTCAAGAGAATAATGATAATAGTGAACAATAATAAATTTTAAAATTTACTTACCCTCCTCTACCTAGTGAATATGCACCTGGCCATCTACCACTACTAACTATTGCAACACAACAATTTTTCGGCAACAGTACACTCGACGGTTTCACTCTCCATGCAATCAGCGGTCGTGATGTTAATGTAATAGAACGTGATCTCGGTCGATTTGCTCTTCCTGTCGGTAGACCAATATCACCCAATGGGATGAGTACAGCATCTTCCTCAATTGTGCCTAGTAAGCCAGGACCTTCTTGAGGTTCTTCAGCTCCTGCACCACCAACACCGACCTCTTCTTCTTCCTCTTCAAGTTCTTCATCAGCCTTCTCTTCTTGAGCTTTAAATCTTTCAGTCCATTTCTCGATGACAGTTGGATGAAACCACCCTATTTCTTTGTTGTTATCATTCTTGTTTGTTATATTATCAAGTACATCTTTTAATGTACTTGCAGCTTGTTTCTGTGAAATGAAACTACATCGACCTTGTGGTAGGATATAAGGTCTTATATGTAACCAGTTATTTCTGTCTAATAATTCTTCAAATTCTGGCGGTTCGAATTCTTCAACTTCCATCAGCGTTTCAGGTTGTTCCTGTACAAAGAAAAAAATCAATAAGTGGACAGTCAACTGGTGAAACAATGAAGGCCAGTGAAGTACTCATTCGATACTTGTTTCATCCTATCAGTCTATCAGGATTTGAAAGTACGATCATTCAGGCTAAGAGGTCGCCTCGTTGTTCACTCAGTCATTAGGCTGGAATTCAATAGTTCATCATTTCGCAGTATATGGTGCCCCAGCCGATAATCAGTGCCATTAATGAGCATCTGATTCCTTCTGAAGTGATGTACCGCAACAGTCACGACTTCTTACCAGGACTTGAGGAAATTTTTCCTGTCGTGACTGATGCAGTGAAGATGGGTACCTAGACTTTGGGTTTTGTACAGATTTCAATTTAATTTCTATGTCGATTTTTTCACTAGTCTTTAGAATTCATTGATTATTGAATTTCAGCCCAACCACGATGATCAGTCAGCCAGTTGGTTTTGTAATCTGAAATTCGTTTCTTCGATTCGTCGTGGATTACTAAGTACGCAATGCTGGGATGCTTTAAACTAGAATGAAACAGATATCCAGTGTACTCCTTTCTAGACTTCAGTGTCTGCCTGACTCATGTGAATCCCTAATCAAACTTTTCTAATTTAAACATTTGTAAAATTATATTTGTAAAATCTCAGCGAAATTGAAATGATTAATTCCAACGTTTCGTTCGGCAATCTGGTCCGAACTTCTTCAGGGAAATTAATCGAATTAAAATAAACAGAGGTTTATTTATAAAAGGAACAACTCATGTTTTTTAAATTTTGTCCAATCATGAGTCATGCATCAGTCATCAATATGTATAATAAATAAATAAATAAAATAGTATGTTTATATATAAAAGTACATCTCTTTTAAATTTATTTATTTATTTTTTATTTTGATTTACAGCTTGATTCCACACTGTATTTTCAGTACAAGTGTGGAATTTTCAGCATGGATATCGGTAGCCCAAATTCAGGCCGACCATAGATATCGGGTGTGCGCCGGCAGGGGATCGAACCCCGGACCATGTGCATGGTCGGCGAGAGTCCTAACCACTGCGCCACCGACGCAGTTTATCCAGTCATGTGAATCAATAAACAGCTATCAATAGGTATAGTAAACAAAACAAAACAAAATTTTATTATGAACTGTGATCAAAATTTGACCTCAGACTTTCAAAATTAGTCTACTTTTGTTAAAATATATGTGTTATGCAGTATCAATGGTGTGTGTGTGTATGTGTGTGGGTGAACAGTCATAAAACATTTGTTATTTTCATATGAGCTGTGATCAAGATTTGACCGGATAGTTACAAAATAATTGAGATGTTTTTTACAAATATAATATAATTTTATAGATTTGTTATTCTCTCCATAAAAAGACATAGACAATCGGGAATTTGATCAAGTGTGACTAGTTGTTGAAACATATCCAATTTATTTATTAGTCAGGATTTGCCATGCATCAGCTAAGATCACACCTTCACTTCTGTTCAAACTGTTGGGATTCACCCATATATGTAGGGCTTCTGCAGTCAGTCTTTCTTTATATGAACCAAAACCTTTCTGTAAAACCTTAGTCTTATCAAAGTCGATTTTGTGTCCCGTTTCTATCGAGTGCAGTGCAATCGCTGAGTTGTTTTCTAGCTTCTTCAAGTCTGCAGAGGTCTTTGGAACCACCTTTAGACATTGTTTATGCTCTTTCACCCTTACATTTACCTGTCTGGAAGTTTCTCCTACATATACGGCGTTACAATCCCCACAATTGATCTGGTATACACAATTTTGCTGGTTTTCTTGTTCTATTTTATCCTTAATCTTAACCAGTAATGAGCGTAAGGTGTTTGATGCACGAAAATACACTCGTATATTATGGTCGTTAAGGATTCGCTTTATTTCGTCAGATGTTTCTTTGCGGGAAGGAATCGCCGCTGTACTAACCCAACTCTTAGCAACAGGTTTTGACTCATTCTTATCTTCACATTTTAAATATCTATTTATGAAGGATTTTGGATAATTATTTGATTCAAGGGTGGGTTGAACCAATTTTAATTCCTTGCTAATATCTTCCTCCTCAGTAACTAGACGTTTGGCTCTGTTGATCAGATTCTTGGCCACAGTTACTTCGGTGGTAAATGGATGAGCTGAATGGTAATCTAGGTTTCTATCCGAATTTGTCGGCTTTCTATAATATATATATAATATTTATATAATAATTTTACAAATGCCTACTTCTCACTCAGCGCTCAATTATTTTGCAACTATCCGGTCAAATCTTGATCACAGTTCATATGAATTTTCTAATTTAAGTTTATGTAAGTGTTTAATCCCTTCTCGAACGAGTTAATTGAAGGCGGTAACATAACTCCTTCTTGGAGTCCTTATGAAGACTTGATGACTGGATAGAAGAACTGGTAAGTACTCCAAAAAGCAATGAATTTCTTTTATGGACTTTTGAATTCTCCTGCTATGTTCTCTGAGATGTTCTGACTACTTGGTGAAAAGGGGAAACAGAAAATATATTAGATCCGTAGTCATTGTTTCAATTTTTAAACACTGTAATGAGATCACCTGCCTGATTACGGTTTGTTAGGGCTTTCCTCGCGTGATAAATTAGTCATTCTTTGAACCCCATTCTAGAATGTACGATTCCCCATCTCTGCCAAACTAAACTGCGCTTTAAATTTTCTTCTATTTCAGTTAACTACTCATTTATTTATCAGTAGTTGAAATGTTTAGGTAAATTTGTCTGGCATTCAGATTAATAAGGGGTGAAAATTGAAATATGATTGAGTGATTCTCCTCATTGCTAGTTGAATTTTTATTTCACATTCACTTATCATTCAATATGTCAATGACATTCTGTCTGTCCGAGTGTTTTCAAGATAGCCTTAGCTGTAATAATAAATAGGGGTTCCAATTTTCAGTTGATACGCTATGAAATGGGACTTCTCAACACTTATTTTTGAAGTATTATTTTGGAAGGCTTTAATCTACTTATGTCCTCTGATCTCAGATTGTACTTCCACACCTTCTTCTCCACCAAATGTCGTGGATTTCTTGGAGGAAACAAGGAATAAGCCTGGCAAAGAAGAAAAGTTGGACGTGAGACTAGCAATCTCACCCTGTAGAAATAAAACTACTGCTACCGAAAATTCAAAGCTCTTGCTTGAAGCCCTATGTTCCACTGGGAACGTGAAGGAATAAAATAATGATGAATAATATTTGTATCTTTAGGGATTAGTTTGTTCGTCGTCATCAGACAGTATTGTGTCAATCGATACACGGTCAATTACTATTTTACATATGGAGATCCTAGACAAAGAGAAACCATTGTGTAATAAATTCTGCTGAAAATTCTGTAAATTATATAAACACCGTTCAAAATAGAGCTGTTATTTGGTTCTGTTTGTTTTCTCTGAGCTGGACGTTTTTCTCGCGATTAGAGAACACAGCTACATCAAAATCATCCACCTGAGCTACAAATCGTCTCCATTAGATCTGAAGGTATTATTATTACTGTTAGAGCATTAACACACCTGGACTACGAATCTCCTCTAGTAATTATCCCTGTTCATGAGTTAGGTCTTAGGGATCCATTTCAAGTTTGAGCACAGACTGATGTCAGTTAGAGAACCAACCACTGAAAAACACCAGCAAGGAGTACTGGGTGGTTGTTTTGTCCTTTTTTGCGACTCATCATCAGCATGCACCTACTATAGAGGCTCAAACCACCCAGCACCTTGCGACTAGAAGGCGAGCTTGTAGACCATTCAGCCACTGGTATCCAACTCAATGGCCAGACCATGAATTCTAGCTTCTACCGATTTGTGACTTTAGTCTTACCATCAGCCTATTTCATCGCAGAGTATTTGTCCTCACACCTCGCTCTACTTGATGGAACTCACTGGTCACGACTTCTTAGTTCATGATAGAATTTGAAATAATCACAACAGTGATAACTTACGCCTTCTTCCAATTCTGCTTCTTCATCTATTTCATATATTCCTGCTGGTGCTATCCAACATGCTGATGTAATCCTTGCTATTTGTGCTCGCAATAAGTGAACCTCCAAACCATGAAATTCGCCTAACCCACCGGGGCCTTGTTGCACAGGAGCATCCGGTCTACCTGTAAACAGCCGTCTAATATTCCGGGCATAAAAGATATGTTCCGCTCTAACTGGCGGCAGTCGAAACCATTCATCACTACCAAGATTTGTACAGGCGAAATAATCCCATCGATTAAGACCACGTCCTCTTGGTTCTGGTGGGATTGGTGCTAGGGGGCACCACTTATTTTTTGGTAAATCTTGTAGAAATATTTTTCGGGCTTCATTTAATTTCATTTGTTCTTCAGATAATTCATTGGTTGGTGAAGGTTCTTTCTCAGTATCTTCTTCATAGGTTGATTCCTTACGAATCATTGCTAGGTAAGAAAAAATAATAATAACCACTAGTAACCACCTACAATATAAAAATTGCTTGGAGTTTAGTGAGAAGTTGTGACCACTGGGATCCATCAAGTAGAGCAAAATATAACGAAAAATACTGGCCGACGACACTACTTGTCAGCTGCGCTAAAAATCGCCAACTGATAGGAGTTAAAATTTATGGGCCATTCATTGAATTTCGTCCTAAATGGCTGAATGGTCAACCATCCCTCCTTGTAGCCTGAAGGTCCTGGGTTGTATCCCTGTTGGTGAGCTTATGTGTGCGTACTGCTGAGAATTCTCAGACTAGAACGAAACAATTTTTCAGTACTTCCTGGCTATTTAACTGACATCAGTCTGTAGGCAAACTTGAAAAAATCAAATCCCTGCGAACTCACTCTTGATAATTACTATAATAATAAAGATAACAATTTATATAGTGGGTTTTATTAAGGATTTCGATTAGTCAAAGTATGGGCACTTCGTCACAAACCAACATCAGTGACAGAGAATCACTGAAGAAGAAAGAGTGTGCTGTGCAGTTGTGTCATCCTATGACCTGAACTGGAACAGAACTCAGGACTATCGGCTAGCAAGGCTAAACCCACTGACTATTCAGCCACTTGGGTAACACCTTATAGGCTACGGATATGACACTGATGCCCTGTCAAATCGTTGTCACTGTTTTCAGTAGAAAAACAAACAGAAAGATGCTCACATTTTAAGGAGATTTGTGCAGAGGAGTTTAGAAACTCTGTGTCTCTGCGTATATAGAAGGAAGCGGTGGTCGGTTTGAATTTTATGTGGTAATGTCCTTTACCTGTTAACCGTTATTACTAATAATATTTTATTCTATCTTTCATTATTATTATTATTGACTATTATAAACTATCTTCTGTCAATAGCATTATACTAACTCCTTGTATTATTATTATTGTTGTTCTTATTCCATACGTTTATTCCCCTTTATGAATTTGAATTAAGCAAGAAAAACAGTCTGTGCAGAATAAGGTGACATAATCATTGCTTATTTCCTCGGCTTATCACCAGCCGCGTACAGCCTAAAGAAATTAATTAAGGTAATGTACTGAACAATCTTAACATACTTGCAAATGGGATGATATGATGTCAGTTAATGACAGGAGGGACTCCAAACTGAATCAACAGTACTCAGAAATTGGCAGTTGCATAGCTTGTTCTCTGAGAGTTCAAGTTTAAACAAAAATAAATGTTCGTATACAATGATGCAGGAGTTGCGTATTAAGGACAAGCGCTATTTAAGATGATGAGAAACTAATAAAATGACTAACAGTGTGGTAAGGTCAACTGAACTCAAATCATAGGGACAAGAGATAAGCAAAGCTACACTACATCAAAGGGGGGGGAGAGGTTAGGGCCAAAAATTAATTGATCAAATGAAAGAGAGAATAAAGATATCCAGTTACCCAGGTAGCAAGGAAATACTAATAACTACCTCTTTGTGAACAGATAAATCGGGTTTCAGGCATTTGATAGCAACTCCTTTGGCAAACTTGGGAAGAACTGACTATTTTGTCTTCAGATTATTTTAGAGGATTTTGCTATGTCCACCATATGACCAGTATCGATGTGATGTCTGGTGATGGCATTACTGAAAGTATTTGTTCCCTTGAAACCTAGGCTTTTTGATGCATGTTCAGAAATTCGGAGGTGTTCCCTTCTTTCTGTTCTCCCAATGCAACCGCTCCCCCAGATACATGTAAATTTGTATACACAGTTAGAGTTAACATGAAAAGAGTATCTGTCGACTCTTGATTTCACCAAAGAGCATGTTGCGCTAGTATGTTGCCATTGTATAAGAACTTTTATTTTTGTTTAAACTTGAACTCTCAGAGAACAAGCTATGCAACTGCCAATTTCTGAGTACTGTTGATTCAGTTTGGAGTCCCTCCTGTCATTAACTGACATCATATCATCCCATTTGCAAGTATGTTAAGATTGTTCAGTACATTACCTTAATTAATTTCTTTAGGCTGTACGCGGCTGGTGATAAGCCGAGGAAATAAGCAATGATTATGTCACCTTATTCTGCACAGACTGTTTTTCTTTCTTAATTTAAATTGTTATTATTATTACTTTTCAGTTTGTAGTTCCTGGTATTTTCAAGCTGTTTCACTGACAACTAATTGTTTTCAGTTGTTAAACTTTGTAACAAATCAACATCAGTTAGATAGGTCACTGAAACCAGGCAGCACTAGACAGCTGTTTCGTTTTAGTTTGGGACTGACTCCTCATCAGTGATCACCAAAGACCCTATCAGAGATTGAACCACGCGAGGTCAGGCTCGTTAATCATCTGGCTACAGTTGGGCTGAACTTTGGTGACCAGGAAATTATAAATTCTGTCAGTTCGCGATACATAGCGCCACCGCCGTCAACTAATGCCATCGGTGAGCATACACTTCACCCGTGTGACACAATGAAACTTACTGGTCACGACTTCTCATCACGGCTTCAGGACATCCAAATAGTCATTAGCCGTCACTGAGCTAGAGGCTGATATATTTACATTACGGGTATTTTAGTAGGGATTTGGATTAATTTCAACACAAATTTAACGTCTTTCATAGAGAATTAATGAGGACCAAGGAGTGTGCTGGATAGCTGTTTCATCCTGGTTAGAAACTTTCCGATTGTTAGGAGTCAGAGTTTAGGAGTTAGCAGAAGCTGGATGGTCAACCAACCGGCGTCATAATCTGAAGGTCTCAGATTCAGTCGCTGGTAGAATTGTAGCTGCGCATGACAGAAGACTTGCAAACTTGTTTAAGACAATCTTTTATTGCCTGGACGTTTAGAAGAATATAATCCTGCTGTCCACTGATATCTGAGAAGTATAAAAATAAACTATCAAGGTACACAGATAGTTTAACAAGCACTGTAAACAAAAGTATTGTTCTACATATTTGCTGCGAGGTGGTGAAGAGATTAAAAGGAAGTATCATAGCTGAAATCTGACACCACTCACTCACATCAATCAGTAGTGCTTACTAGCCAACCAAAGTGAAGTAATTAATCGATCTAAGCACCAAGCAGCCTCTTACCTTGGTCAAGAATCAGAATCAAATGGTTAAATGATTGTCAACAGTGATTAATCAAATCAATATCGAAAGTTGTTTTATTCAAAGTTATCTATAAAAATAAATTGTAGTCCTCTGGAAACCATTAATATTTACCTCCACTGAAGTGTTGAAGTCTTAACAACTCTTTTCCTGAATTTATCAGTGTTCGAGCTTTTTTGTTGTAAGTTTTATTCTCGGAAAGATATTTTGGATGTCGAACACACAGAGTTAGATATGAACGTTCAGATGATTTGAAATGATTCGGCTAGTCTGAGCTGAGTCTAACCTGGTAGATCATTAATGAGCTCAGACATAATCTTGTGAAATGACTGTTTAGTATTTAGATAACATTTAATCTGCTCAGCAAGCACTACTGATGTTGGTATGTGAGATTGGTATCGCTGTACTCACATCAGTCAATTAGTAGTACATTTTACTATGGTTGCTTTTTTGACTACCATTTATTCATTATCAGCCAGATTATATATCATACATGTGGTCTGAATGATTTTGGCGTCTATGTGGCAAAATTTCATCTCCTGAATTGTGTGCAAGCTGCGAATTGCATATCTTACCATTACCATTTCGCTTAAATAGCTAGCTAGCCGGAATTCACGTGGTTTGAACTGCTTCGGCTGTCCCTCTGAGTGGTCAGATCGGCTTCATATTTAGAGAGACCACTTGGACAATCTGGTTTCCTATCAGGTTCCGTTCTTCGTTGTGGGTGGTATCCAGCTACTCATATCATTCAGTCTATCTACCAATCAGTGGTATATCGAGTTTTGTTAGAAAAAAAACCACATGTAGGAAGTGAAAAGAAATATTCCAGAAGTTTTTCACTTTGTTTGAATGGACTTTTCTTCAGTACTTAGTGTATTTTGACGTTCTGGTTGACATTCGTCCTTCAGAATGGCATAAATCTTCTGACGTAATACTTACACAAGTTTCTGAGTGTGGATTGATACCAGTTAAACAAAGCCACTGAAACCACCAGCAGTAGCAGCAGCAAGGAATACTGGACAACTGTTTCACCTTCGTAGTCTGGGACAGACTTTCCAACAACAAGCATCTATGGCCCTACCTAAAAGAGACTCAACTACCCAGGACCTTTATATTACAAGAACTCAATAGCCAGCCCATGAATTCTAGCTTTTATCAATGTGATAGGCAAGTATTTGTCTTCAGTTGATACCAGTTAATTCTCTAGAAACTAACACACAGTAACAATCAATCTAATGCTCACTAGTGAGTGAGTAAGTAAGTGAATATAGGATGAAGTTACCCGGAGTTCTAGTGGGAAGTCTTGACCATCGGGGTCCACTAAGTCAGCCAACATATGTGGGAGAAAATACTAGTTGATGACATCTCGAGGGGTTCTTTCCTTGGAGGTGGACCATAGTTGCGTCCCTCTAATGAAGAGCTCCAAATTAGGACAAATCGTCTGCCCTAGTTCTCTAACTGATATCAATCCATAATCGTAAACTTGAAACTCATGAATTACCAACAAACTAATTCCTTATAACACATAAATTTCATGACATTTGTTTACCATTTCAGAAAAGCTAAATAAATAAGTGAATGAAAACATTTTTTGCCCGGCTTCACTTTACAACTCCTCCCCCTCCTTCTTCCACCCGCCTTCCTCTTCTTCTCTCACTCATTCACTCTCCATCAGAGTTTACCATTTAACGTCTTCTGGAAAAAATATTTCACGATCTTTTCTTCAACTTTCTTTGATTTATTCTGATATATGCATAGCATATCGACTGGAAAAACTTGCCTCCATCAGCTTTTTTCTCATCCCTCACCTTCAATATTCAGAATATTTTGACTTGCCACTTCAATTAGAGCAGATTTCTGGTATTTTCTGTTATGTGTACATAAATATGTATATCATTA